GCAGCGCCGGAGCAGGCTCAGCACCAGCTCCCGTGGACAGCGCCGGGAGCCCCGCCCACCCATCGCGCCCGGGGCGGGGCCAAAGCAGGCCCCGCCCCCTCCTGCTTACTGCGGCCCCTCAACCCCGCCTCTAGCCGCGTCTCCCGGGCTTCTACTTCTACTTCGCTTCCTGTCCTCTACTTCCCAATGTCAACGTGCTCTCAAATTGTTACATTTAATCTGGAGGGGGCGGGGTGGACTCCCATGGTAGATAAACCACCACGGACTCTCTTGCCTCTTGTCTCCCATTGCAAGATCTACCCTGAGAACACCCAGCCCTGGCTCATCTCCATCTCATGCAATGGAGTGTCTTGGCAAAAACTCCGTGACCAAACTGGCTTCCTCCCCTGCAGAGTCATACTCTGCTCCTCCAGTTATGCAAGCTTCCTTCCTAAACAGTTCCAATTTAACTGAAACCCACATGCATCATTTTTGCAACCTTTGACTCCAATCTCAAGCTCTCCCCTACTCCCACCTCCACTTTGCTCTCTGCACACGATCTTTTTTATTTCTTCCTTGAGAAATTAGCAAAATATGATACGACTTTCCCCATCCTCTCATATTACCCTCCATTCTCTTTTCTTTTCCTACAACTTTGTCATCAACCTTTTTCCTCCGCTACAGAGACAGAAATTTCTTATCTGCTCTTCCTCTTTAACTCTGTTTCAGCGATCCCATTCCAATCCATCTTCTGAGCTCCCTCATGCCCACTCACATCCTCTTGCCTTAATCTTGTCTTAACCTCTCATTTTCCTGTAGCTCTTTCCCCTAAAAATACAAACATGCTTCAGTTTCTCCCATCCTAAAGAAATGCAGACTTGAGCAGAAGTGTAGTCCTAAATCTCAAGGTATAACAATGCCTGCCCCCGTCCATAAGGAATGTGGGGTATTGGTGCTATCTGCCTAGGCCAGTGCTCCTCAAACTTATTTGATCTGGCCCCTTCTTTGAGCCTGTAGTTGTTTATGCCCCATCCCCCAAAAGTACATATACTGCCACCCCGCTGTGAAGGCATTGTTGTGCCAGTAGCAGCACAAAGATAAGGGAGGCAATATGAAAAGTGACATTTCTCCATAATACTTTTCACAGCAGATTTATCACCCCATTGCCACCCTTACTTCTATGCTACTGCTGCCACCCAGAAGCAGACAGCCAAAGCCCCGCCACCTCCAGGTGAGGACTGTGGGAGACTGGGGAGGAAAGCCTGAGCACAGACAGTGGCCTGGTGGGAGAGTGACAGTTGGGGGAAGGAGAACTTGAGCAGTGGGGCTCTGGCTCCACCACCCCCATCCCTCAGATGTGTCCAGCCCTTCCACATGAGCTCCAGCCACCGAGGGATGATGATGCTCTTTAAAAAAAGGCACACACATTCACTTGACACATTCCTGCGCCTCTCTTGCATAATTTTTTGTGCCCAGTACAAATTTGTGCCGCCTCTCACACACATACCATAATATGTTTCCTGGGCCCCAGTAAAGGGCACCCCAATCTGTCCACCCTATAGTTTGAGAACTGCTGACCTAGGTCCATCAAAGGGCTCTCTGATGGCCTACAGGGATACCCCAATATAGGACTCTGCTGCTGTGACTGGTCTGCTGGGCCAGGCTAGCCAGGATGTGATTCATTCTGGGAGTATGTGCAATGTTTGGCTGTCTGATGTGAATATTTCAGAGGGGTAGCTGAGTTAGTCTGTAACTGGAAAAACTTAAAAAAACAATGAATAGTCTTGCAGCAGCTTAGACTAACAAAACATGTAGATGGTATCATGAACTTTTGTGAAGAAGTGGGTTGAGCCCTTGAAAGCTCATGATATCATCTACATGGTTTGCTAGTCTCTAAGGTGCTGCAAAACTATTTGTTGTTTTTTAAGTTTTTTTGATGTAATTACTGTGGTTTTCAGCAGAGTTGGGAATGGCTACCACTGATTGGCTGTTGGATTTGAAGGTAATGGTCACCTTTCTGATTTGGCCCTGGGGATTTATCGGCTATTCTCTTTGAAGTGTGGTGGTTTGCTATATAACCTTATTTAACATTGTGAGGTGGTAACTAGCTCTTTAGAGATACTTAAGTCACATGATCAGTGTCCACACTGTTACCTCACTTTGGGGCCACTTTATGAATGGTGATTGATCTGTGAGACCAAGACTGGGCTCATCACTTTCCATTTAGGCTGAGAGCCAGGAGAAGGACTCTGTCTGTATAATGGCTTGGTCCTTCCTGGTTGTTGAGCTGGGCTGTGATTGGGTGAATTCAGCCAGGCTCATCTCATAACTGGATGCCCATCCCTCAACATCTTCAGGAGCTCTCAACTCCCTGTAATGGACATACGAATGTAAGAACGGCCATACTGGGTCAGACCACTGGTCCATCTAGCCCAGAATCCTGTCTGACGACAGTGGCCAATACCAGATGCCTCAGAGGGAGGGAACACAACAAGTAATCCTCACGTGATCCTTCCCCTGTCATATTGACACTGCTTCTCTCTGATTTTTCTCTCCTCAAAACTTCCCTCCCATCTCTGTGATTTTAGTTTGTTTATTATGCACATTTTGTCTCAACTACAATGTACAGCTGCAACAGCATTTTGGTTTTGACTGTGCCACTTGCCTCTCCAACTACTGCCTCATCTCCTTTCTCCCTTTCATCTCTAAGCTCACTGAATGCACTGTCTGAAATGGCTCCCTAGAGTTCCTCCCATCCAATTTCATTTTAGTCTGTCTCCAAGCCAGCTTCCACCTGTTGTGCTCCAATAAGACTACTATAATCGAAGTCTCTAAAGAATTATTTCAAGACAAAGCTTAGAACCATCTTCTTTGATCTGTCAGGTGCCTTAAACAAATTTGATCATGCTCTTCTTCTTGGAATCATATCCTCCCTTGCCTTCTGTGATTCCATTAGCTTCCATGGGACTCTGTCTTTGGTCCTCTTCTCTTCTTCCTCTCATCCTCTCACTGGATAATTCAACTCTTATCTCTTTGCTGATGACTCACAGATCTTGCTATACTAGACCTCTCTCTTTCTGTCCAAACTAAATTCTCAGCTTGTATCTCTGACAAGTTCTCCTAGCTGTCACCTGCAGCTGACCATGGCTAAAACAGACCTCTAAATCTTTCCCTTTTCAGCTTCCTTCTTAATCATGTGAACAGCACCATCATCCCACCTGCCACTTTCAACTTAGAAGTTTTTTCAACTCAGACCTCTCTGTAGGGCAGGGGTGGACAATCATTTTTATGGGGAGGCACTCCAAGAGTTTGGTAAGTGGTCAATGGCCAC